AAGAAATCTAAAGAAAGACAAATGCTGATTTAGTGTCAGATCAGCTGGTTGGTTGGTGGACTTTATTATTGTGTTTGTTGACTATGTGTTTGTTACAGACCCACAGTTTTATCCTGCCAGACAGTCCATCCGTCTCGACCCCAGTGAGTACTTTCATTACAGTTAGACACAGTTCTTTCGACATTTTCTTTTCACTTTCTTTGTCCAGTGGCCGTGTAGTTATACAAAAATAAACCATGCTAGGGTGGTGTGACATGGCACGATACTTCGCTTTATTTTCATATAACCGGAAGGTGTCTGGAAGGTGTTCTTCCACTTATATCACAGCGATTTGCCAAAGATTACAATGTTTATCTGCCAAATACCGTAAATTTAAATGGAATGTATTAAAGAACAACACATCATGGTATTTTAACAGTTTATATTTAGGATTTAATGTTGTGGAACATCCACGAGAAAAGTTAGTTCCTGTTATCACTAATATCACTGTACAATTTTTCCTCTTGCTATAAACACTGATTAAATCTTTAATTCCAGAAACATGGTACAGGTGAAACTGACATGGAACCGTTGCTTATTTTGTTATTAAATTTGTCTCATTAACAGTTTTGGTTCATGATTTATGGAACCCAGATGCCAGTGTTGGGTGAAAACAAACTACATTTATACAGGATTTAAATCCAAATATTCTCAATCAGAGTTGAAAAATACACATAAATCTTATTTCAGTTGCTTTTTATGGATCATTGATCATAGTCTGTTAATTTGCAGCAGTCAGTTCCTGAAGGGAGATGTGTGAAAATTCAGACTTTCAGTATTGCATGTAAAGAGGCTCTTTATGACTGAGTCGTTCTGGTAGCAAAAGAAGTCATTGAGTTTCATGTTCTTCATTTGGCTTTGTACTTTTATTAAAGCACTGCAATATTATTCTACACGAAATTCGAATGAAATTTAAAAGTAATACGATTAAATAACAAGTAATCCTGAAGATTACATTACTGATTACATGAACAGTGAGTGCTGCTGATTGCCTTATTTTTATTTGATCTGACAAAAGCAGAAAATAGTCAACTATTTATTACCACTGAATATTATAGAACAAATCAATAGACACAATTGCATTAGGCTTTGAGGTGCAGATTGTGCGTGTGCGTATGTGTGTGTGTGAGATGGTGTACTGATGCATTGTGGGATTGTTGATGCAGAGGGAAAATCTCTGAAGGATGAAGATGTGCTGCAGCACTTGCCTGTGGGAACCACGGCCACCTTCTACTTCAGAGACCTGGGAGCCCAGATCAGCTGGGTCACGGTAACACACACACACACACACACACACACACACACACATATCTCACCTTACACACTTCCATACACACATACTCTCATGAGACAGATGTGTATAACTTTCTTCAGAGACTCTGCTACTTTTCTTCACTCTAAATTTCACCAAGAACCGCCTACTTTTACAGGAAGAGAAGGTTTGATTGACATAGCAAACAACCAGTTATGTTACTTACCCGTGACTGTTTCAAACCAAACACTCTCATATCTTTTGGAGTGAACTTTATTCACTCTACTCACTACATCCTGCTCTGGAAAGTTCATTTGCTTGCAGCGTTTGTGTTTACGTTCTACCAAAGTGCAGATAAGAAACCACACCACAAACTTCAAGATCACTACAAACACACACACACACACACACACACGTGTATTCACACACTTGATGCTCCATATCTGAGAGAGTGTGAGTATTAGGTGGTGCTATATTCAGGGTGTTTATTAATAGCAGTTCAACACAGCTACGATAACCAACTGACAGACACACCGGCTCTTAGTGTGTGTGTCTGTGTGTGTGTGTAGTGATTATTACTGACACACGCTCACACAACAACACGCTATTTGCACGTCCTGATTTCGTTAAGTGACAGATGTCCATGGGTCAATGAAGGCGGAGCTTAAGTTACATCTCGCATACTTTACAGTCAAGTCCAAAAGTTTGCATAATTTTGTGTTGATCTTGTTTTGGATTGTTATCTTGTTAAATGATTTACCCATATTTGACTTTTTTTTTTTTTTAAACTTTTTTCTTTTTTCTTTTCTTTTTTGCAGTGCAGCTATGGTTTATTTTCTTTCTTTCCAAACCATAATGGATGCAAAATCAACTTTTGCACTCAACTGTACTGGCCTTTTTTATTTCTTCAGTTAAAAATAAATAAAATAGTTTAGCTGGCTGATTTAGCTAGCTACCTAACATAGCACTGTCCTAACATTAGCCAGCTGTCTAGTTAGTTAATCCAACATTACCTGTCCTGCAGTTGTTAGTTGCTCACGTTATGCTAAATATCATATTGCATAATTATTAAATACCAGTAAGCTAGTATGCTATCTTAGGTGAAATATTATGGTGATGCCAAGTGATTGGTTAATCAAATTTAACATACGCTCCACCTTTGTTAATTTAGGGCTTAAAAAAAAAAAAACTTGAATATTGTATTAATATATTGAAACGTATTACTATACATCTGTATCGACAACAGCGCAAATACAAATTATTAGTGTAAAATATCGTCTCCCCACAAAATGTTGTTTCCACAGTATTTGTTTTTCTTTATTTCTCAGGTGTTTTTGACAGAATACGCTGGCCCGCTGATCATCTACCTGATGTTTTATTTCCGTGTGCCGTTTATTTACCAGCCCAAATACGACTTCACCACGAGCAAGCACTGGGTCGTGCAGTGAGTGATACTTCACAAATATTCTCTCAAACCAGGGGGTTACAAACCTCTCTTACTGAGGACAGATCAAAAAATATGGAGTAGTCCAAAGCCACAGACTTTTTGTAATGATAAAAATACAGATATAATTAGCAGACTCCTTGATTTTCACTGTTGTCTGTTGTATTAAACCCTTGTGTAGTCTTAACATTATGTCCTAAGGGTCAAAAATGACCCGCTTTCCCTAAAACCCTAAAATAAAGCAGTTTAATTGAATTTTAAACCTCAAATCTATTTTTCATGAAGAAACAACCTTCATCACAAACTTTGTGAATATCTGGGTTTTCCATCTTCACAGTGCAGAAAGACTGCATTTAATCAGTGGACGCCACTCGTTTTCTCTGCTGTTAAACGTAGCGACGGCTGATTTTTGACCCTTAAGACAGCGCAAGGGTTAAGTAAGCAGCTTCATAGGCAGGTTTTAAACTGTTTCATCCGTCTGCTTGATGCAGGAGTGTTACTGTGTAAAGACTACAGAGTTCACTCACTGGGTATGCTCCCTTAATAGAGCAACAGATTCACACACACACACACACACACACACATATAGCCTAAAAACTCCTGCATTAACTTACTATTTTCCACTTCTTTGCATTAATGTAGGTCTGTAGAATTAAGCTCATTGTAGCTGGAGGTAAAATGAAGTGAAACATAACATGATACTGTTGGTTAATGTTATTTTTTTTCTCCACTCACATGTGCATTAGGAATTTTGTTAGAAGATTATTGAAAGAACAAGAATTTTGTTTTGTAAATGATTGATACTGAACTGATTTTTTTTTTTAAGTGATAGTGACACCCTGTGTTCAAACCAGGAACTTCCTTCTGTAAACTTTCTTACGTGACCCTTTTTAAACCTTATTTTTAGTTTAGGACTTTACCCATACAGAGACAGAGGATGTGTGTGTGTGTATATGTGTACTAAACTAGCCTTTACAGTAATGAAATTGTAAAAGCTGAAGGGCTGATGGGTAATGCAGTTCTCCTGTGCTGTAGCTTGGCGTGTATGTGTCACTCCTTCCACTACGTCAAGAGACTCCTAGAGACACTGTTCGTCCACCGCTTTTCTCACGGGACGATGCCTCTACGCAATATCTTTAAGGTGAACACACACAAACACACACGCACACACACAGTGTAAATGTTCCTGAGGAAACAAAGCATGCACAGTCAATTTAAAAAAATCTATTTCTATATGACTAACTTTATCACTATGATTATCTACACCACAGCGCTCTTGAATTCTTGAATCTGGTTGGTTAAGAGGTGTTGATTAATTTTCTATAACAGATAATATTTGATTGATGAATATTTCTATAACTAATCACTTTAAACCTGTTGATATTTAATAAAGAAATTGTACAGTGATTGATACGGTTTCTGTAAGGAGAGATTTATTTAACATTTATGTAAGGAGTCTCCAGTGTCAGCGCTTTGAAACAGTCGCAGGTTTTTCGGCATGGGAAAGTCTTCAAGACGGAGGAGTTTACACTTGGCAAGCTGGGTCTTTTTGTAAATATAAATGGATAAAAATTATCACATGCTGTTCATTAATAAATTAAAAATTGTAATTCTTAGGAAACTACTGTGGTGTACGAGGAATAAACAATTCAGCATGTGCTCAAGTCCTCAGAACCATTTTAAGCAGCCATTACACTCGACTCTCACTTCACTATTTTCTTTGCCAGTGTGGAGAAAAATAAGACGAATATGAGCGGTTTCTGGGGTTATGTGATTTTCGAGGGAGCGTTGTGCTAATATTATCTAGCTTGCAACATCTGTACAGTCGTGAGAGCGCAAATCTGTCGTGTGACCATTACATAGAATGAATGAAAAGTTTGTTTATATTTTGCTATTCTTCAGAAAAAAGCACAGTCTGTCCTTTTTGCTGTTTATTGGCTCTCACATGAGGTTACGTTTATCTAGACAAACTTCATGTTGACTGCTTCAGAAGTTAACTCATTTCTTGTGACTTGGATCCTTTCCTCTTCAGTTGAATTGGCTAGCTAAGTGTTGATACTTGAAGTTTGTTACTTCAAATACATCATGTCATTGTTGTTCATCTTTCGGCTGCTCCCGTTAGGGGTCGCCACAGTGGATCATTGGTCCATATAACTGATGTGGCACAGTTTTTATGCCGGATCCCCAACCTTCCCCAATTTTATCTGGGCTTGGGACTGACACTGAGAGTGCACTGTCTTGTGCAACCCTAGTGGCTGGGGTTGGTTTCCTGGCCGGGAATTGAACCCTGGCTGCGGCGGTGAGACCACCGAGGCCTAACCACTAGTCCTCCATGGACCTAAATACATCATGTCATTGTAAAAACCAAAAAAAGAGTGTTTAATAACATTACTAAAGTACTGTGCTGTGCTACTGTTACTCAGCTAGTTAGTTAGCTTTCTAGTTACCTTTCTAGTTTCACTTGCTACATGATTAGTATCAAGCCAGCTAACACTAGGCAAACTTTTCTCTAGCTGACATTAGCTTAAAGCAGTATTTTATGCTAGGTAGTTTAAAGAACAGTTTGTGTGGGGATCGATGAAATTATTAAATTTGCAGTTGACAAACCCAGTGTGTGTGTTTTCCAGAACTGTACGTACTACTGGGGTTTCGCAGCATGGATGGCTTACTACATCAACCACCCGCTATACACACCACCTAGTGAGTACATGCTAAACACACACACACACACAGTTAACCAGCAGCACACTTTACATACTGAACACAAACTGTTTTTCCAAACCAAAATCCTAATAGTTGGGTTTCCAACGCGATTTTTTTCTGGTTCAAACAGAATGTTGTTGGGTTGTAGTTGGGACGCCCACCGAAAATGTCAAAAGTTTGAAAATTCCAGGCCCAGGTTTAGTTTGTGTTCTTTCTCATTCTGATGCTCTGATATTGTGTTCGTGTTTCAGCCTACGGAGAGCAGCAGGTGAAAGTGGCCCTCATTATTTTCCTGGTAAGTGATAGGATTTCTGAAAAGATTTTTAAGGCTTGCTGTAGCCAGATAGCTAACATAAACTAACCTAACAGGAAGTCGTACTTTACACAACTAGGCTAAGGTAACCTGACGGGGCTGGCTAAATAATATGATGTAACCTGACAGGATTTCTGAGAGGACTTTTAATCTTTATTCATAAATGGTCATTATTTTAAAAGCTAATAATCACCCAGAAGTGAACATGAGCTAACCTGACAAGCGTTCTGACAGGATATTATTATACTCATATCCATTAATGTTTATAATCTTTGCTTCTAACGCAAGCCAGTTAGTTAAACATGAGCTAATCTGACAGATCATCTCAGAAGAACATACCCGCCTCTCAGGCACGATTAGAGGACATGAACAGTACACCGATTTCAAACTAAGCCTGTTTCTAAATGGAAATGCGGCCTGTGTTAGATGTAGCCTGACCACCACCTTGACATTACAGACATTTAAAAAAAATATGAACACTTCTCTGTTTCTGCAGTTCTGCCAGATCGGAAACTTCTCAATCCACATCGCACTGAGAAATCTCCGACCACCAGGTGAGGCTTCATCCCCTCATGCGTACACATCCCAGGCATAAGATAACTTTTGTGTTCTCTTGACTTCAGGTATTTTTTTTTTTAAATAAATAAACCCTCTCATTTCTCAGGATCTAAAACTAGGAAGATCCCATACCCGACTAAGAACCCCTTCACCTGGATCTTTCTGCTCGTGTCCTGCCCTAACTACACATACGAGGTCAGTGCTCTGTCTCTCCCTCTCTCTCTTTTTCTGTCTTTGTTTTTTATCTTTCTGTCTCTCTTGTTCCGTTTGTCTGTGTGTCTCCCTTTTGTCTATCTCCCTCTCTCACTTTCTCTCTTTTCTTATTATTTGATTTGGTGTTATAAAGTGGCTTTGTGTGAAGTTAGTGATGAAAAGTTACAGTTTGTATACCTTTTAAGATGGTGTGTGTGTGTGTGTGTGTGTGTGTGTGTGTGTATATATATATATATATATATATATATATATATATATATATATATATATATATATATATATATACACACACACATAATGTGTGTGTATTTTGTTCTTGATTTTATTTTTGTCATATTAATTTGTTTTTTAATGAAGTGAGAAAGTGAGAATAATTGATAGGACAGTTGTTTAGTAACTGTAATAAAGGTCTTTTGAAAATTCAATTCTCTCTCTCTCTCTCTCTCTCTCTTTCTCTTTCTCACATGCTAATTTTGTCTCGTACTAAATACAGCACGTATGGAGTTAATGTCCATATGGAAGAAACGACCACCGTAAATCACCAAGCATTTCAGAGCAGGAACGCAGATCAGTGTTCGGTTTCTAAAACTGAGATCATTATAAAAAAAAAACGGAAGAAATTTAATCCTAGTAAAACTGAACTGCTTTACTACATCAACTCTAAAAGGCATTAGCTACATTTACACGCAGCCTAATAAGTAAGGAATAAAAGACTCGGTGTGGTGCTGTTATAGGAAAATAATCAACAGGGTGGTGTGATGAAGTGGAGTTAGTGCCACCCTGAAGTTGATGACTTTCCTATAACAGCACGACCCAAAGTGTTTTATTCCTCTTATACCACAGCAATTTGCTAACCATTACATTTTTTTAAAGCATGACACATGCTTTTTATCCATTTATAGATACATTTAATGTCCTTGAAACAAGTTAGTTCCTATTCTAACTTGCATTATAGAAGCTATAAACAGCCAGTCCCTCACCAGCCTCTCTTTTTCTCTCTTGAAGTTAAAAAAAAAAAAAAACCCACACAGCTTGTCATGTTACCAAGAATCCATAAAAAGCAAAAACTCCTGAAAACTCCTCTGTCCCGAAGATGTTGGAAAACTTAAAGCTACAGCTTTACCTCCGACTGTTACAAAGCCCTGACACTGGAGACTCCTTCCATAAATATTCAGTAAACATCTCCTAACAGAAAACTTCACCAAAGCAACAATTATAAATAAGAGTGCGCCTTTTAATGTGTAGCTCATTCACCGTACAAGTCCCTGTGTATGTTGTTACCATAGAAACGATAATGTATCCTAACTCATTAATATAAACCAGTGATTTGCAGACACACTACTGTCACAGACACATACAGAAAACACTTGTTTAACTGACACATTTCTGTGTAGTAGCGCTCATATTAAATTAATTTAATTTAATAATGTAGTTTTTTTTAAAGATATGACCATGCTGCCTTGTGTGTGTGTGTGTGTGTGTGTGCAGTTGGGCTCGTGGCTGGGCTTCACCCTGATGACTCAGTGTCTGCCGGTGGCCTTCTTCACACTGGTGGGCTTCATCCAGATGACCGTGTGGGCTAAAGGGAAACACCGCAGCTACCTGAAGGAGTTCCGCGACTACCCACCTCTACGTTCCCCCATCCTGCCGTTCATCCTGTAGAACCGGCATGCTGACAAACCACACCCACTACCTGACATCACCCCGTCTGAACCAATCACCTTCAGAAGACCGTATGCCCTTCCTGGTTCTCAACACACCATCACACCAAATCCACGCTCCCTAAACCCTTTTCACAGCACTGACGATTTTATTAGCTTGATCTGTTCAGCCTGATCATAAATGATTAAACATATCCAGGTGTCCAGTGTGTGTGTGTGTATGAGGGACTAGGCAAAGGGCTGATGGTGAAATTCTGGACTTGACCATTCTGTAGCTTCTGGATCACTCAGATGACCATAATCTAGACAGTAATCTAGTAGTAATCTATGGTTCCTAAACCAGATCAAATTAGTACTGCAGTATTTACAGACATGTATAATAGTCTAATAAAGATTAATAAAATGTGAAACATTTTATGACATGGCACAAATTTTGAATAGCGACACTCTTGATGAATTCATGTTGATTGTTTACCGTTACTAATGTTTACATTCGAAATACAAGTTACATAATTCTACTTTGGTGTTTGTGTAATGTTTAAACTAGGGGGATTAGTTAATACCAAAAAATGTTTTTAAAAATCCAGAATAACTACTTTGAACTTAAACGTAGCTGATCAGGCAAGACATGCTTGGTGTCTTTAGATTCACACTGGCGCGACGATGATTTAAGCCGAATCACTTTCTTTCTCAGCGCTTAGTTTGAAGACTAATAAAGGAGGTGTGGCCTAAATTTTGAAGGCAGAGCTGTACATTAGACATGAAGCAGATGATAAAATAGTTCCAGTTTGATTTGTGTATTTTGTTACAGATTTATTCTGCTATTTATTCCCTTTCATGCATGAATTATTTATATGCATATCCATATTCTTTCCATTTTTACTGAAAATTGCTTGATGAATTTTGATTCTGTCTAAGTATGATTTATATTAAAAAGTAAATGGATTGTCCATTAGTAAAAAGGCTAAAAGGCTATGCCAGAAATCATAAAAAAAATTAATCTTCCAATGTCCAATATTTTTAACATTCTAAACAAGTCTAAAATATGTTGTGCTCAAGACCAAAATGATAGAAAATATATAATTTCTGAACATGCCAAACTTAGTGTTTAGGACTTTTGCATGATGCACGGAGATAAAAAAAAAAAATCCATCTTCCCCATTAATAAACCCATTAGTTTATAAAAATAAACAAAAAAACTTTTTTAGAAATCTATGGCATTTTGTAGAGTCTGGCATAAAAACATGTTTTACTTTCTTTTTCTTATTTATTTATTATAGCAAGCTAATAAGTAATGCTCTCAAGAAATTTGAAGGTGATGTCCATCTTATATTTCCCTAAAATGTAAAAAAAAAAAAAAAAAGAGCCTTAAACTGACTGTCATAAGCTCGGACCCTATGCATGAAAGGGTTAATGGAACAAGCACCGTTTTTTTTAAAGCGAGTGTGTGATGTAGACGTGCAGAACTGGAGGCTATAAAGTTCCTTTACTTTTACTGTGTTAGCTTCATAACTCCGTTGTAAAGCTAAAGGAGCAAACTTCAGACGTTAAACAATGTCTCAGCTGGTTGACATTTGGAGGAAAACAGGAAAACATTCTGTATGTTTCAGTGTAATAAATCCTGAACTGGACACAGGCATCACAAGCAGGATAAAGGTGCTCTTTATTGTCGAGAGCAGTTTGGTATTTACAGAGAGAGAGAGACACCATGAACACGAGGACAGTGGGACGGGTGAGATGGAGAGGTGAAGAGGGACGACTACACTGCCTGCGCTTCGATCCTCTTCTTCCTCAGGTTCAGCCGTCTCTCTCGCTCGTACTCCTTCATCCGCATCACGTAACTGCAGATGGAGAGGAAAAGAAAATCGAAGAAAATACGTAAGCAGAGA